GTGGAGCTGCATGTATCACCCTCCCCCCAGAACACATCCTCACAGGGTGGAGGCAGGTCAGAGGTTGCAACAGGGGGAGAATTGGAGAGGACCTGTTCCTTTTTCTGCCCCAGAGGTGAGCTCTGCCCCAGGACACATCTGCTAAGTGGCCTGGCACCTGGCAGAGTCCTAACAACCTGTCCACTCATCCACAAAAAGGGACACAAGCCCCAACTTGTCAGAGGCAGGAAGATCTGGACAGAGTAGCAGGGGCTAAGCTTTGTGAACTAGAAAGCATGTAGGTTCTTTTTACAAGTGGGAAACTGCTAAAGTTGATAATGGCAAATTTAAAAAAATTTAAGTCTGGTGTCATCTCAAACAAGGGAGCAGGCAGGGGAGATGAGACACAATGACACAGACACACAGCCAAGGGGCATCTGAAATGCTTAATTGGGCAAGAAACTGGAGACCCTGAACCCCCTGTGGTCCTGGCCCTGTGCCTCCTGGCCCTGCAGGGGAAGCAGCCAGAGGGCAGCAGTGCTCCTTGCACCTCAGTTTGCTCGCATCTGCAATGGGGCCAGCTGCTCCTCCTAGGGAGGAGGCGGGGACAGCCAGAGCTGGCAGCAGGCAAAGTGCCAGGGACACACAAGGTCCAGAGCTTGCAGCAGGTGGGGTCACAGAGAGAAAGAGCTCAAAGCAGAGGAAAGGAAGGAAAAACACACCAACCCCCTCCACCTCACATAGACAGATGGCAGGGCACAGGCTCAGAGGAGAGGTCTGGTGCCAGCCATGCCCCGGCAAGCTCACAATTCCAGGACAGTGATTTCCCCTCTGAGCCTGGCTCTTCTCATATGCAGGATGGGGCAGTAGCTCTGGTGACCATCGTGACTGAGTCTTGACTGTGTGTCACACACCTGTGTGGATAAACCAACCTATTCATTCATCCCCCACATTTATTGAGCACCTACTACAGCCTGGGTACTACTGCAGGCTCTGGGGACAGAGCAGTGAGCAGGCCACAGCCAAGCACTGAGTATAAGCACTTGGGAGTTTACATTCCAGGGGAGACAGAGAGTAAACAAGATAAACAAAGAAAACACACTGTGTTAGATGGGGCTCAGTTCCAGAGAATAAAGGAGGAGAAGACTGATGGGGGGACTGTTGTGGGGGGAGGGAGCATTTGGGCCAGAGTTGAGCTGGTGAGAGAACTGGGGAAGAGGCCCCAGGCAGAGGGCAGACAAGTGCCAGGGCCCCGAGGTAAGAGGGGAAGGAGAGGGTCCCAGCAAAGTCTTAACTCCTATTTTTTTGTTCCCTCACTGGTCTCCTAAGCCTGACTCCTTCAAGGAGGCCCAGACCACAAAAAGGGGGTGAAGGGAAGGAGTTTCCATACATGCACAAGAGAAGGCTGGACTGGAATGCGGGTCCCCAAGGCTCTGGCCTCACAGACACTCACACCCCTCCTCCACACCCCCATTTCTGTCCAGAGGCTCACATTTCTCCTCCCCTGTCCTGGATGCTCTCAGGATCCTCCCAAGAGGGGTCTTCCATCCCACTTTACAGATGACAAACTGAAGCCCAAGAGGAAAAGTGACTCAGTCAGTCACATCACCTGCCTGGCTCACCTCGATGTCTGCCTTAAAGTCCCTTCCAAAAGGCGAGATCCTCCAGGACAGGGGCCAGGTCGCCATTTGCTCAACAGCCGTTCATTAAGCAGCTTCTCTATGCCAGACTCTGCACTGGGGCCACAGCCGTGCAGCGGGGCACCAGGGTCTCCACCCCAGAGTCTACCACACCAACACAATGAGGCAAGAGCGCCCATTAATGCTCTGGGGCCAGAAAAAGCAGCCCACACACAAGCCCATCTTGTACCAGTTTTTCATTAGGTCCCAGGGATACAGCAATCTGGGGGCTGAAAACCAGGCATGGCTTTAGCCACAGAATGCATGGGGCATGGGAGGTGATGCCACGCTGGAGCCTGCTTGGCACACATAAGCACCAGGCAGAGTGTGGAATGAGGGGAAGAACAGGTCTGTGCCTAGGAGTGCACCAGGGCTCTGGGTTGGAGGGCACAGCTTACAGTCTCTTCCTACTACTCCCCAGGCCTCAGATCTCCTGCCTGTACAATGGAGCTATGCCACCCTCTTCTCTGGAAGGTCATTAGGAAATTAAATGGCTGAGTTGGCAGAGCACTAGGCCCTCGGCCAGTGCCCAGTGAGGGCTCTAGTCCTGCCCTCGGCCCTAGGGCCTCTGGAAAACCCACTTGCCTCAGCCAGCCTCCCCACCCCCACCCTCAAGGCTCAGCTGAAGCCTCCCTACCTCCCTGCCCTGCCTACCTCCCTGCCCTGCCTACGGCCCAGTTCCAGTCCAGCTCCCTTTCATCTTCAGACTTCCCTGCTGCCACCTCCCGATCTTGCTGCCAATTCCCCTGGCGCAGTCGTCCAGTGGGACCAAGCCCACACCCACCGCACCTTCCCAGTAGCCCAGCCCAGCCTCCACATCTCCTCTGCCCACAAGCTGCCTCCCTCCCAGCCTCTCCTCCATGCCAGCCCATGGCAGGGCTCCAGTTGCAGGCCCCAGGGGAGGGGCAGGTGTGCCCATGTGTCACTCACAGTAAAGCTCTGGCAGGGGCCCAGTAGCAGACACCAACTGCACCTGTCAGAGGGACAGCCCAGCCCATAACCAGGCCTGGGAGCAGTGGGGCTGAAGGTGGGCATCAGGTGGGCTCTGAGGGGACACCGGCAGCCTCCAGTCTGGGGCCAGGCAAGGGCCACAGAGGGTGACGATGCATTTGCTTCCACCCCAGACATGTGCCAAGGCCTCCAGGTGCCATGCTAGGTGCTGCCAACTGTGGCCCTGGGCACCGGAGGCCTGACCAAGCCAGAGGAAACTGTCCACAGGCGGAACTGGTACCAGAGCTGCATAACTGCAGGGTGCTGCTATGGCAGTTACTGCTATTATTATTTCTGCTGCCATTATTATTTCACTGTCATAGGGCCACCCAGTGTTACCTTGTCCTGCTTCAGGTAGACCTAAGAGAAAGGACATGATGGCCCTGGAATAGAAAGTCTGGCAGTGGCATAGCATAGCTCACTGAATGTCCCTCCACCAGGAACTTGCCTGAAGGGATCCCCTCCTGAAAAATCTTGAAGTCCTACGGGGCTCTGATATGGCAGTTAGGCATGGGGGTGGGGGGCAAGAATGGATCTCAAAAGATCTGTCCCCTTCAGGCTGGGGAGGGGGCTCAACTGTGCCCTCATCTGGAGTGGGGGAACCAAGAGACTTGTAATGCATGTCTGCCAGCTGTGCGCCAACAACACCCAGCATGTACACAGTGTGCCACAGTGTGCACTCAGTGGTGCCAGCCAAGAAGGGCCTTCCCTGTGGTCCAGCACAGTGAAGTCTTCCTTCTTGCCCCCAGAGCGCTAAGCAAGCTCCTCCCCTTTGCACCCTGTTCTCTTAGGGGTCTTGGCTCCACCTGATGGGAGCCTTTCCAAGATCCCTTTCTTGGACACGCAGATCTCAGGTCCCCAAGTTGGAGGGGAGAGGCCACAAGAAAGCTGAGGGGCAGACTGCTGAGCAGTCTTTTTGGGGTCCCAGCCCAAGGTGGGATGTTCTCAGAACAGAGAGACCTGTACAAAAAAACCATAAGCCCCAGATTGGGGATCTCCCCTCCCTGACCCTCTCCAGCCACATAGCGGTGGGCCAGGGTGGAGACTTGCTATGAGCAGCTGCACAGAAGCTATTCAGCAGGAGGTGAGGCTGGGCGGGCGGGGCAGCAGAGGGCTGGCCTTCCACCTCAGGGAGGGGTTGAAGGGTAGGCCAGAGGCTAACGCCTTCTGGGTTCACACCTTCCAGGTGGTGGCTGCTGAATTCAGCAGTGTGTGGGCGCCTCGGCAGTCCCAGGAGACAGAGCCCAGGAACCAGGGTTTGGGATGTAGATTTGTGGGGCAGGAGGTCCCAAGACTTGGTTCCAGGACTCAGGCCTGGGCAGTGGGAGCGAAGAAGAAAGTAGAAATGGTCACAGGCAGCTCAGGGGTTGTAAATGGGTACGATCTCTGAAAATGGAGAGGAGGGTGGCCCCAGACAAGTACTGGCTGTAGGCAAGCAGGAGAATCTCCCAGAATCAAAGCCACCTCCAAAGAAACACTTTCCTGCGACTCCCATTGCAATCCCAGGTTTTAAAATATTCACATGACATGCGCACACCCTGACATAACAAGCACCACAGAAACAGCTGGGATCTCAAGTCCCATCCGAAGCCCCCCAGAAGCTCCCCACCCACTTGCAAGTTCCAATGAGTCCCTGGTTCCTCAGCCTGCCTCTCCCCAGGACATCCAGGGGAGTATGGAGGGGTATCACCACCCTGAAACCCTGGGGGCTACTCAACTGAGATGCTCTCCCCTCTGAGATCAAGGCCGACTTCTGACAGCAAAAAGGTGCGGCTGGAGTTGTCTCTGGCTGGCTCCTAGCAAGCAGAGAACCATTTCCAGAACATTTTTACTCCATTAGAGAATAGGAAGTGGGGAAGAGAAACGTCTCCAAACACATCCAAGTCTCGGACTGGGGGCATATTCGGGGTCTCCAGCAGTCTGCCACTCCTCCGCACCCCAATGCTGATCCCTGGGTCTCCGAGAAGGTCACGCTTAGGGCTGATGCCAAGCCAGAAAGTGCCTCCCCACACACCCTCCCAAGCCCCCTCCTGCAAGTCGGCCAGAGGGGAATAGGTGGGCACCTCAAAGTTTCCCGGAGCGCCCCCAGGACAAAGGTTAGCCAGGAGCAAAGTTCCCTGGTAGCTGTAGCCAGAGACATGGCAGGGGAAGAAAAGCTCGCAGTCAGCATTTCCTCCGATGGATCACCAAGGGAGGAAAAACACACACACAGATGAGAGGAAGAAAAAACCCTCCCGCCCCACCTTCCCTGTTGCAGCACCACCTCGTGCTCGCTCCGGGCTGGGGAGGGGGCATCCAGGGAGCCGGAGCGGGGCCCCCCGGAGCCCGTGCGCCCGGCGGCCGCACACTTACCTCGGCCAGCGGCCCCGGCGCGGCGCGCTCCGCGTCCTCCGAGCTCCGGGCGGCCGCTCCTGGCCCCGGCCGCCGCCGCGCTGGCCGCATCGCCGCCGCCGCTTCAGGGCAGCCCCCGGGGGTGCTCCATGCCAAAGGGCGCGTCGGCCCGGGGCTCCGAGCTGCCGGGGCCGGCCGCGGGTCTGGGGCGCGCGACTGGACGGCAGCCACGGCAGCGGGGCGCTCCGTGTGGCCCGCGCGCCTCGCGTCCGCCCCTCGGTCTGGCGGCGAGCGCGGCCAGCCGCCCCCCTCCCCCGCCGGCCGCTATCTGATCCCGGTGAGGGCCCCGCCGGCTGCCCTCCGCCCAGCCGCCCCGCGCCTCCCGGCCCGCTCCGGCCGCGCCAGCCCCTCGCCCCCAGCTCCGGTTCCCAGGGAGGCGGTGGCAGCGGCGAGGCCGAGGGAGGCAAGGCGGGGAGAGAGGAATGGAGGGCGAGGAGGCGGCGGGAGGCTGAGGCTCGGCACGCACCCAGCTCCGCGCCCCGCTGCCACCGGAGCCCAGCTCGGCAACTCCTCTAACTCTCTGCCGAGAGCACGCCCGCCCCGCGCCGCACCGCCGTTGCCCCCGCCCACCCGGGTCCTGGCCTGGCCCCGCGCCCCCCCAGCCCCGGGCCACCCCATGCACACACACCGCCAGCCACTTGCGCACTGGGGCGCGCGCGCGCGCACACGCGTGAGCACACACACACAGAGGCATGTCCTCCCAGGGACACAGGTGCTTGGCAAGCACACACCCAGGCAAGACAATCTTGCACACACGCGTGCACACGCGTGCGCGCAGCCGGGTACTCAGCTCAGGCATCTGCATCCACACATGCAAAATGCAGGCCCTGACACGCATGGTCGTTGCAGGTGCACAGGTGCATATACACGTATAAGTGCTTATGCAGGGTGGTATCTGCACGTGTGCATATGTGCATACAGATCCTGGCTTGTACGTTCCCAAGAAACCCTTTCCCCTTGCACACAAGGCATGCACACTCCTATACACACATCATTTCCCCATCTTCAATAGCATCTCTCCTCCCTGTCTTGTGCTGTTTGGCTTCTCCCATCTCCTGCTTTCTCCTCCCTGCTCCTCCCCTTCCCCCTTTCTCTCTCTCTCTCTCTCTCTCTCTCTCTCTCTCTCTCTTCCCCCCCTCCCTTTTCCTCTCCACCTGACCCCCATCTGACCCTCTTTTCTCGACACCCCTACCTCCAGAGGCTCAGGTTTTCTTCCCAGCCTGTCCCCACTCGCCCTGCTCTCTCAGCCTCCTGGGGCCTATTGTCTGGGACCTCAGATCACTCAGCTTCCTGCAGGGCCGAACCTTTCATCCTGGCAAACAGACCAGCCTGGCTGGGCTCTGGCCCAAGGAGACCCCATTTTATCACCCATCTGACCCCTTGCTCTACCTTGGGACCACGGAAGTGGGCCAAGAAGGCAGGCTTGTGCCCAGAGCAGAAGCCTCAAAGGGCTCCCTGTCCCCCTTGGCCTCCAGCTTCCCCTTTAATGTGAAATATAATTATGTGTCTGCACAGCAGGGAGACTGGCTGCAGGATTCTAACCAAGGAGGATGGCTCTCTGGCCTCCGCCCAGATTGCTGGCGGCTCAGACAGAGCAGTCTGCAGGCCCCACCTGCCCCAGGCTTCTGGCCCCCCAACTGCTGGCCTTAGGCAGCTGGTCATTGCAGCCTGGTCTAGGCCATACAGAGACCTCAATGACATCAGGCTGTTCAGGGTTTGGAGCCCACCAGTCCTATTGACCAGCTGCAAAGGCAAATGACTTCATCTCTTCATGCTTCGTTTTCCCCACTATCAAATGTGACAGTGAGAATTCCTACCTCTGGGAACTATAGTGAGCATTAAATGAGTATTGAGTATACCTGAAGTGCTTAGCACAGTCCTGACTGGGTAAAAGAGCTAACATTGACAGAGCACTCAGTATGCACAATGTTCTGTATTAGGGACCTGGCTGGAATTGCTACTCTGTCACTTCGACAATCGGGTAGACATGCTCATGAGTCCTATTTTACAGGTAAAGGAGCTGAAGTACAGAGAGGAATGCTTGCTTGCTTGTCACAAAGCTAGGTCGGTGGAGTCAGGACCCAGTCAGGTATGTCCCCAGCACAAGAATATTTGTCCCCTGGCCTCGACAGCTGCTTAGGGCTACAGTAAAGAAAGAAGGGCACCCCAGGAGGTTCTAGTCCAGTGCATTTCCCTACTTCTGACTGGTCCAGGGTGTCCTGGTTTCCTCCTCTTCCCAGGAGAACAGCCTCCCAGGAGATCAAAAGCTATCAGGAAATTCTCCCTCTAAACAAACAGGAAACCTGCCTGGTTCCCACCCCAGGAGGATTGGGCCTACAGATGCCCCTCCTGTGAGGTTCCCCCAACGGTCCACAAAGAGCCAGGGGTCCAGCAAAGGATCTTGGCTGCGAAATGGACAGAAATACCCCTGGGCACCTCTGTGTCTAGGATTCGGACAGGTTCTGAGGTAAGAAGGTATGCCAGGGTACCCTCAATGTTAAAAACCAACCCCACCCCCAACTCCCCACACAGAGCTCCCACCCAGCTGCTCACTAAGGCAAGCTGGGACTTCTCCCTGGGCCCAAAGCCTCCCACAGAACTATCATCAGACCCATTTCACAGACACAGCAAGTGTCTTGCCCAAGGACATTCCAGCAAAGAATGTCCCCACAGAAGTATCTACCTGACTCCCCAGGCCACAGCCCTTTAGGCTCCACACCCCACCCTTCCAATCCCCCACCTACCTGGTGGGTCTGAACTCAATTTTTAATCATAATCATATCCGAAACACAGCTGTTATGGGCCCTGGATGGACAGCCCTTTCCTGGACAAGGTGGGGTGCCAGCCTCCTTATGGGGTACACACCCCTGTTTCCAATGCAGGAACTGAGGACCAGAGGGCAGGGCTGTGTCCGGGTCTCTCTCTAACCAGCTCACACACCTGCCCCAGAGCTTCCCTCTGGGAAGCAGAGAGGATCCCAGGGTGCCTCCCTCCAGTGTTAGAGTATCAAGCAAGAACAGGTAGAGGCCCTTGGACACACATCCCCTGCTGAGACCTCAATCCCTTCTCTATACTCCTCCTCCCTTTGGCTGCAGGGGATGCCATTGAGATGAGCCAGAGTTAGGAGTTCTAGCAACATGTGTGCCTGGCCAGCACCCTGAGTGTATTTGGCCTCCCCATAACCTGAAATTCTCTTTCTTCTCCTCCAGGGTGGGCCCTGGTCCCTCCCACTCCTAAGGAAAGGGAAGTTACTTCCAAGGTCACAATGTTGCGGGCTAGAGGGTGGTGCTCACAGATTGGGGTTCGAGGGTCAGAGCTGTCAGCTCTTGTAATAATCTTGTCTTAACACAACACCATCAATGTGTTTGTTTCAGCCATAAATTCATCATTAATTAAGATATGAAAACCAGCCAGTTGCTCACCTGTGTTTCTTTGCCAGGCAGCTGTGTGGATGCTTCCAGGACTCCGCCCACTGCTATAGTCTCTACAGAGTTGCCTCCTCCCGGGAACCCACCCACATTGCTCTTGCTTCCTTTGGACATAAGCACAGGCCAAGTCAAGAGACCCTTGAAACACAAAATGGGCTCAGGCATGCCCAGCTAAAACTCTGCTAGAGTAGGCAACAGAACCAAAGCCCCAGCCCACCCTCATTTTGCCCACTCCTCTTAGCCTTCATGTTCCAGACACACTGGCCCTCCTTCCAGGTCCTGAGATGTCACCAGTTTGATGACATTGCTGGCTTTCTTCCCAAATTGCTTTTCCATCAGAGGCAGCCCAAAGGACCCACCCAAAGTGCCCCATCCCATTTTGTTCTCTTTCCTCACTGGTAGATCTCTGGGCCATCTTGTTCACCATCAGTCACTTCCAAGGCATGTCAGCTCCATGGGGACAAACTCTGTTGGGCATGTTTACAGACCAGGTTCTGTTACACAGTGGTTATATGGTAAACACATCTGCAGGTGCAGGACAGAGAGAACAAGCCCTCACAAATTGGGCTCAGTAAAAGTTTTGCTTCCTCTTCCAGGCAGGTGACCCGGATCTGGGGCTCACCCTGCCTCTCACCCTATAAAGCCCTGTCCAAAATTCAAGGGGCGAAGGATGGCATCTGCAGAGGCCAAATAGGAAGTAAGGGCCCTGACGACTCAGGAGTCCTGCCTTCAGTCCAGTCCCCTCCCTCAACACCATTTTCCAAAAAATGCTCTTTGATAATAACAACTACACTAACAATGGCTGCTGCCAGTTGTGCATTTGGCCCGTGCCAGGCTTCAGGTTAAACGCTTACTTGAGCGAACATATTATGCAGGATGATATTGTTATTGATAGACAGAGAGATGCTTACCCTGTTGGTAGGTGAAGAAGTGACACCCAGGGGGCTAGAGCTCCTTTGGTGAAAGGGATTCCTGGGAACAACCTGAGGTGCCCGTATGTCCCCGAGGTCTGCCGGCCAGGGCTGGTGGCCCGTGTCAGGAAGCTGCGGATGAGTGAGGTGCCCCAGAGGTCAAGGAAATGACTGTCTTGCGCCCTTTCAGCCACACACCGCCCCACCCCCAGGCACCCGCAGGCCCCTGGCTGACCCTGCAGCATTGATTTGAGGAGAACAGAAATTCAGGAAGGGATGGCAGCCCTGGAAACAGGACACTGAGTTCCTCCCACCCATCAGGAAGCAAGAATTGATCAGCTCAGCCTGGAGCTGGCCACTTGACTTATTTCCCTCTAACACAGGCTCTGACACACTCAGCCAGTTGCCCTCGCCCCTCCTCCCACCTCCCCTGGCGCTACAGCTGTCAGGAGGACATGTTAATAGAGGCCAGCAAGGCTGGGCCAGGGCCGGAGGCACCAACTTTCATCTGTGCTCCATTTCCCCACCTCCAGGCAGGGTTTCTGTCCTAGACGTGTGATTTTAGGGTCTCTGGTGGTCCATGTCTTCCCATTGTTCAGGCCCCTCTTCTGGGGGCCTTGAAGAGGAACCCGCCCATTCATA